GCTCCCTTTACTGGATTCAATACTGTCTGCCTAATGTCCTTTTGATTTCGGCGTGGACATGTTTTCATATGATCATGCAAATGTTTTGTCCCATTCTTACTTTTACCTCCTAATTTTCTATCACAATAGTTACAAATTGCATTCTCTTCCTCCTCAACGACTCTTTTTTTGAATTGATTCCACACTAACGAAGTTAATTTCCTTCTCTTACCCTGTCCACAGTCCACTACTCTCCTCCTCTTCCTTGCTTGACTAGGTAAGTCTTCCAATGAGGGATTATTACTTGATCGTACTGGAGTACTTCCAATGCTCGGTACTGGTGTACAATGATGTGATCCAGATATCTGAAATGAAATAAAAGGAAAGTAATTGTGTAGAAAAGGTATCTACAATGTGTCCAAAATTGATAGACAAAGTTGCAGTATATAAAAACACTAGAAAATAATGCAACTGTATGAATGTGCTGGACTCCTGGACTTATACAACTGTAGCATTACACTTCCAATCTCATTTTTTGGCTTCGCCAACTAATAATTAGACAACCGCCAGTTGCATAGAGATAAAAGAATGAACTAACATTCCAGTTGTTCTTTTCCTTTTTCGACAAAACTAAATGAACGTCAAATGGATAACATAGTGATCTTGAAGGACTGTTTTGGCTGTTATTATCAAGCAATAAACTTTTCTAATCACAATAATTGGAAAACATACTAGTTGCACAATAGATAATAATATTATGGCTAGGTTAGATAGAAACATCGACCAAGTATTCGGAATGGAAAGGAGTGAAGCACCATAACATGACAGAAGAAGACAATCATGAAAACATGAACTTTCACTTTTATGATGATGTGAAATTCGACTAATTATCAATGCACAGGATTATATATTCCATTAGGATAACATTAATATATTTTAAATCTAATCTTATATCATTCATAAACTGTCTAATTGCCATATTGTAGGTCAACCATGAACATTGTATGAAATTTATGACAATTTTCTTATTTAAGTATGGTTTTAATGGATTAATAAATGTGGTGTGCAATTGTAAACTCAGCAGAAAAGAAAAAACTTGCATGAGTTAAGATGAATCACTGCATAAATGGCGTGTACTTGAAGACTAAAATAAGATAATGACAAGAACTTCAAAGGATTCTTTACATTTGTCAATAAAAAAACAGAGATGGTAACATACAATTATCATGCAAATCAAGAGATAATTTTATAACATGGAAGATTGAGGCAACTTGGGCTTGATTCAGATTCTTTGCAGAAAAGACAAAAAATAACATAAAGTAATGAAATTGAAAACAATTTGTAGTACCTCCAAACAATGAACAAATGGACAGGATTCACAAGCAAGAATCAAAGTTTAAAAATCCCATGAGAAAAAGGATGAAAAACTTGTTTTGTTCTTGTAGATCTTGTTTTTTCATTTGTTGTGTTATCTAAAATAGAAAATCCCTTGTCACCTCCTTCCTATAATACTTCCATTTCTTGATAACATCGGGATATTAACTAGTCCTAGCAGAATATCTAATAAGGACAATTTGAATAATCACTAACCTCAAAAGAAAGCACGTAAGAGTATTATTTGAAAGTATATTACAGAAAATAGTCACCTCACTGGCTCACTCATGGGCGGGCACCAAATAGGAGAATCTCGAATGCAGAGAGAGGCTGCAAATGCAAGTCGACTAAGATGTGTAAGAAAAATATTTGAATAAGAAAAAAATGCTGTCAAGAAGCAAATGCATTTGAATAAGAAAAATATTTGCAAATGTGGTAACTTCATTAAATGAACGTGAAATTGGCAATACCATCTGCACTCCCAGTTATGAAAAAATCAGCAGCTGAAACTGCAACGTGTGTTACCAAATCGCGAATACGACGGCTAGTGATGACGAATGCATGGTTTTTTTTGGTGGAAATTGAAAATAATCTCTCCAGTCTCCAAATGGGAAAACCCTCGCCGCCTCACCTTACCTCACGTCAAATTGAATGAAATTATGAAATTGGGATTCTGGCTTCTGGGAAATGAGAATTGGTTTCTTCCTTTAATCCTTTCGTCATTTGGGTCAGATATTGGGTAATGGGCTGGCCCATTACATATAACTAACTGAAAAATTAATTTGTAAAAATTAAAACTAAATTAAACGGAACGGGGTGGGGCGGGGCGGGGCGGGGCGTTATGTGACCCTGCCCCAACCCCAGGTTGAAGTTCTTCGCCCCATCCCTGCCCCGAATATCTGATTAAGCTGGTAATTCCCACCCCGTTCGGGGCCGGACCCCGCTGGGATAGGGTTTAATGGGGGGTTTTTTGCCATCCCTATTATTATGATTTATGTATCGATTATCTGATTGTGGACTTATGGTATTACACGATCTTGACGGTCTCAATGAACTGTTAGATAACTATTGGAGCACTTTGCTGCATAAGCATCGAAAATAATGAAATTTATTTGGAACAAAGGCTTAGCTCGTTGCAGATGTTGGAAGTTTCAACCAGCATTTATAATATCAATTTATACGTTAATGGTAGGAACACGTGAGAATCTGATATCCTAATTTCCATAATTAAATCCTATTACTAGTCAAGGATGATGGATAGTTCGAACTATAAAATGAAGAAAATAAATGACCTTTTTAATTTTGCTGATGAAAGGTTGCTTCCACTGAATCAATCAAATTGAGGAAAAGAAAAAAGATGCAATTGAGAGAGATCAAGAATCCTCACTAGGTCTTAGATTAAAAGAAGGAAAGAAAGAAGACAAAGAGGAAGTATAAGGCGTTGGCATTTAAGTGTAGTGTCTTGATTCATGATGTTTGAAGGAATATAAATATCATAGCTTGACTGATTTCTAGAGGATTAAAGAAGTTATAAGCACATACATAATCTCATTTCTAGGGAGCAGGTGTAGTTGTTGGAGACTTCTGCCTGTTAGTTGTATTTCTGTGGAATATGACACTGAGCTTAATTCACGCGAGGGAATTTATGACTGCACTAGCTTTATCGAGTATTCACTTTTTTTTGTCTTAATAAAAAAAATCGTTTCTCCCTTTTCGTTTCTGTTTTCCCCTCTTAATCAAACAATAGTTGGCAAGTGAAAGGATACTTTCAGTTTACATAATTAAAAATGAATCAAAAGCATGTAAGGGTTTTGCTGACGGGCATTTTTCTCTCTATCGCCGTTTGTTGTTTATCCGCACTCAAGGTGATTTAAGCTTTTTATTTAGTATCATGCATTGATTTTTCTCAAGTGTTGGCAATATGCTCTAGCGTTCTTTGTCTTTTGTTGTTTCTGAGCAGGCGTACTGCCTATATCGGCAAAATAAGTTGGATGAAGCTTTGGAATCCTTGAAAGGGCAAGAGAAGAACTCTGCAATGATGCTGTTAGAATCACAAATTTTATTTCGTTTAGGAAAAATGGATGCTTCCGTCAATATTTATCAAGAGCTCCAGAAGTCCAAGATAGAGTCCTTAGAAATAAATGTTACTGCTAGTTTGGTTTCTGCTGGGAGGGCTTCTGACGTGCAAGTGGCTATGGATTCTCTCAGAGTTAAGCCAACTAGCAGTTTTGAACTGGCTTATAACACTGCTTGCTCATTGATAGAAAGAAACAAATACAAGGATGCAGAACAATTGTTGTTATCAGCTCGAAGGTAGTGTCTATTCCTGGAAACTTAGAATTTTTAAGCTTCATGCAAATAGGTAGAACTTGCTTCAAATGATATGAGTTTATTTTTGAGAATATTATACATAATCCACTCGAGTATTTTCATAGATCTTGGATAGTTGGGTAAGTAGTCATTCTCAGTCTGTTTTGTTAAGGGCTCTCTTTCTTTTCTTGGGCCCTCTTTGAGCCCCACTTTTGGTGTAGAATGCATTTTGAGATAGTAGATTGATGGAGAATGTGTAGTTAAAAAATAAGGAAAAATTTTGGGTTTGCGTGTCATTATTTTATTGAATAATGTGTGGTTGAAAACAAGAGAAAAAAATGTATTTTGGAAAAAATGGGGATCAAATAGGGGCTTAATTTGTTTTTAGTTTTATTCTCTTGGGTTTATGCTCATGCACTTTCTTGCATGCCATTTTTCTTTGTTTTTTGAGCATGTTGCTACTTGGGGATATTACCCCTGGATTTCTTCAGAAACTTAGCACACTTGTGTGAGCCCCATTTTTTTAATAACTCATTTTCAACCACAGATTCTCCCATAAAATAATTTTACACGTAAATTCAAAATTTTTCCTTACTTTTTAACCACATTCTCCAGAAAATCATTATTACAAAACCCATTTTTCCCAAAAAATGGGGCTCAAACTGGGGCTTAGTGGTTTTATTCATTGGACAGTTGAATGCATTTTTGGGAAGCTCTTTTCTAGAAGCGCTGACATTTACTTTTGCAGAATCGGTCAGGAATCACTGATGGAAGAGAATTTGGCTAATGATGACATAGAAATCGAATTGGCTCCTATAGCCATTCAATTAGCATATGTTCAACACGTGAGAGTGAAATTATATTTGAATTTTCCTTTTGTTTCCCCACTTCTATGCATTGAAGCAATCTCTCTCTCATTTTTTTTTCAACGTTCCCCAGATCCTAGGTAACACAAAAGAAGCTTTCGAATCTTATACCAATGTCATCAAGAGAAATCTGGCAGATGACTCGTCACTGGCAGTGGCAACAAACAACCTTGTTGCTCTGAAAGGCCATAAGGATGTGGCTGATGGGTTAAGAAAACTCGATAAGTTGATAGAGAAAGGTGATGGACCACAGACTTTCCAGCTTGCTCGTGGTCTTGACCTAAAGCTTTCACGTAAGCAAAGAGAAGCAATATTCGTCAATCGTCTACTGTTGCTACTTCATTCTAATAAGATGGATCAGGTAAATATCTACTCTTCTCATAAGTTTCTTTTCAGATTGAAATTTGACAGGATATATGTCCTACTACCAGTGGGTCCCCACCTTTTATCTGACTAGTCATCTAATCAATAAATTACTACAGGCTCGAGAACTCGCATCTGCGCTGCCAAGCATGTTTCCGGATAGTGTAATGCCTGCTCTTCTTCAAGCTGCAGTACATGTGAGAGAAAACAAAGCAAACAAAGCAGAGGAGATATTAGGGCAGTTCGCAGATAAGTTCCCTGACAAGTCGAAGGTCTTTCTGCTTGCAAGGGCACAGGTTGCAGCTTCTGCTGGTCATCCTCAAATAGCAGCTGAATCTCTGCTGAAAATATCTGATATTCAACACAAGCCGGCAACTGTTGCTACCATTGTTTCTCTGAAAGAGCGTGCTGGAGATATTGAAGGTGCTGATGCTGTATTTGATGCTGCAATTCAGTGGTGCTCTAATGCCATGACTGAAGACAATAAGCTTGATATCATCATGGAAGAGGCTGCTGCTTTTAAGCTAAGGCATGGAAGAAAGGACGATGCTGCACGTCTATATGAGGAGCTGGTGAAAAGCCGTGGAAGCATAGGGGCTTTGGTCGGGCTTATTCAGACAACCGCTCATACAAATATTGAGAAAGCGGAAACTTATGTGAAGCAGCTGAAACCACTACCTGGTTTGAAGGCAGTTGACGTGGGGAGCCTGGAGAAAACTTCTGGTGCAAAGCACATGGAGAGTGATTCGACTGCTAGCATCACTGAAGCATTTGAAGCAAAGAGTAAGGAGAAAGTGAAGAAGAAAAGGAAGAGAAAGCCGAAGTACCCAAAAGGGTTCGATCCTGCAAATCCAGGCCCTCCACCAGATCCTGAGAGGTGGTTGCCGAAGAAGGAGAGGTCTAGTTACAGACCAAAAAGAAAGGATAAGAGAGCAGCTCAAGTTAGGGGTTCTCAGGGTGCAGTAGCTAAAGAGGCTGCTACTAGTGTAAACCCGAAATCAAATCAAACATCTAAGGGTCCCTCGCAGAATGCCAGCGCAGAGCAGTCGAAGCCTTCATCTAAGTCAAGGAAGAAATCAAAGAATTAAGAGCTACAAATGCAAAGTTTCTGATCTCGTCCTGTTGCAAGGGGAAATTTTCACTTCTTGGATTGATCTTTTCTGAGTTCATGTATTCGTTATCATTTGATTATAATAACATCCAAAAGGGGATGTTGAAAAAAATAACTGTTAACGTTGTCTGCTATTGGATATTTTTTAGGGTTTATTTGGGGCGTTATTTGAAAATTATTCGACCACAAATTTTCG